AAACTTTAAATTTAAAATTGTAGTGTGACAAATATAAATAAACTTTTGAAAATCACTGTTTTTTTGTATTACACGGAGACGAAAATGAGGTCAAACGGGATATTCTCGCTTAAACTTAAAAAATCTCCCTGCCCAAAAGTGCTGTGAACATACAAATACATACTACTAGCCCACTCGGACGATTTATGCCCGTGTGGATAGAGGAGATGGTTCCCATGTCTCTGGCATTGCGCCGTGCCCGGCACATACGCCGTCTAGCCACACGCATTTTCCGCTTTATTTTTAAAATTAGGGGTTCGAGTCGTGCCCACGGAATCGCCCTGCATCTTTAAGTTTTAGGACTTCCCGGGAGAAGGTTTTAAACGCAAGAAACATGGCATCCGTGGAGGTCATGGTATCGCAGTCGCACAACCAGTCCACACCGGCCGTTTGCACAGCGGCTGCGAGCTTGTTTCTTTCCTAGCTATATACTGGGCAATCAAATAGCACATGCTCCGCGGTTTCCTCTGGGAGACCCTATCGGCAACGCGCCTCGCCTCGAAAGTTGAAATGACGGAGCAACAAGTTAAAATTCCCGTGCCCGGACACGAACTGTGAGACGTAGTGGTCCGGAACGAACCATGGTCTTCCAATCTGCGCCGGACACCCGGGAACCATACCACCGTCCGCCTAACTTTGTCACTGGTGACCCATCTTTCCTGCCAGAGGCGTATGGTAGTCTAGTTATATTGTTTTGCCTTACCAGCAACGTCTGACACAGATTTTTTTCTTCTCCTCACGGCGCCCTTATCCCTTTCGATCTTAGCCAGCTGGATTTGTTCTAAGTCGAGGGGAGGTACTCCGGCTATGACCTGGAGCGCCATCGTCGACGTGGTCTTAAACGCACCCGTCATTGCCAGTAACGGGCGTCTTTGGGCGGTGTTTGCCCGTGTTCTGTGCCGGTACTGGGCAATGCAGCGCTCGGCCCATACCGAGGCCCAGAACACCGATTTGTACAGGATCCTTGTCGTCCTTTCTTTAAGGTCCCAGCTTGTCTTAGCCACATATATTAGTCGACTGAATAGCGCTACTGAGGACGCGGCCTTTTCCGTCAGATGGGAGCTAAACTTCCTTTGCGGGTCAAATGTGACCCCGAGGTATTTCGCCTCCGGGGTCATTTTCACCTTAGTACCCCCAAGTCAGAAGTCAAGGGGCTTACATAGTTGGCCCTTAATCCATAAGGTTTGCGACTTGGCTGCAAAGAAGGTTAGTTTCCTATCAGTGACCCATCTCGACGCTATTTCTAGCAGCGCGTTCGCACGTTCCGAGAGATCCGGACGGTGTTTCCCGGAGATGAGTAGCACGAGATCGTCTGCGTAGACGACTATCTCTGTACTGGGTGGGAGATCGCTGGACAATAGCGGGTTGACCGTTCGAACCATAGGGGCCAGACCACTCTTAGGGCGAAACACGTGAGCGTATTCAGCCGGCTCGGGGCTTCATACGGCAGAGGCACCTGGCAGAAACGGCAATCTGTCAAAAAGACAAAAACCGTAAGCACCACAAGGGGGTCGTCGAGGTACACACAGTGGTGCCCCGATCAATCTGCTTGCGGACAAGGCAGTTGTGAGGGCTTGGACGCCGAGTTCGAACATCGTACCACGGGACTAAGAGTAAACCCCGTCGAGTTTGACTTGCTAATAGCACCTCGACGCTCCGGGGGTGAAGAACTCGAGACGCGCGACCGCGTGGACTCACCGAGGACACGCGCTCGTCCGCACCGGGGAAGTCACACTTGAGAAAGGATAAGTGCTGGTTGTGGGAGTACCGCCTTAGTAGAAGGGGTTTGACTTTGGCGATAATCCGTCGGGCCCTGACCGCGGCGGTCAATCAAATGCCTCCCAAGGTGAGGCAGCGCCCCGGGAGGGTCTCCCGGAAGAGATAGCCATGCGGCTAAATAAAAGGGTCGAGTTTATCCTGGGCAACCTGGAAGAACTGGTTGGACCCCGTAATACACGAAAAGATGGGTGAGTCGCTATTCCGACGAAATGTGGAAAGGGAAAACCACACGTAAGATCAAAGATGAGATATAATATAGGCGAGTAAGCGACTCAACACTAACTGTATACATTGTTTTTATGAAATGACGCAAAGCTTTGGCATACAGTGATTGTATATTTAATACAAAATGTTGTAATTGTCGAAACCACGAGAAAAAAACAGTCACTTTGGCTTATTTACTATAATAATTATGTGACTTGGTACTGAATAAACATTTCTGTACCTCATAGATTTTGTGTTAGATTTTAATTCAATGATAAACCTTAACAAATGATCAGTAATTAATATTATTGTACACTAAATATTTAAAAGTACCTTGTTTAATATTCTATATAAAAAAAAAAATAATAATAATCATTAATAAAAATGGTATTTATTTTGTTTGTAGACACGATAACATTTAGACCATATACTCGGTCCAAGAATTATATTTCTGAATTAATTAAATTAAATTATATACATAATACTTGTAACATCAAAAAAGATGTACGAATTAATTGTTGTCCGATAAAAATATACTAAAGAAGTTAATAGTTGATTTCATTTGTGAGGGCAATATATTATTTTAAAACAATTAAAATATATGTAAAGATCTTCAATTTTTCATATTACAAATGAACAATTCTATGAAATTTTACAAATATTAAATTATCGTCGTACACAATTTTTAATGTATTATTGACTATTGTATAGGTACCTCTATGAATTTATATAAAAAGCACCACTAACACAGTACATTATTATTAAGGCTTCCTTATTAATGTCTACGACCGATTACACTTTTATTTTCATAAAACGATCTGAACGAATGAAAAATGTTTAACAAATTTAATGAAAAACCTTTTTCGTTGTTTTTCCCGTACACCACTCTAATAATACAATAGTTTCACTCTGTGTCTCAAGTTTTATGATGACGACTGCAGTCTCTCTCCTGATCGTATTTTATCTGTGGTTTTAAATACTTATCATGTTTCCTATCCAATTAAAATATTATTTAAAATACAATTTAACACGCTTTTTATTTTATTTTTCAATATTCAATAATATTTTCAATTTAAAAAATTGTGACAATGGTAACCTCACGTGAAACACATTTGTGTCAATAAAATAACTTTCCATATGTTGTTTAAACATAACTTATTTTATTTGATATGTTTAAATAATATACACATTAGTAAAGTCACCTTAGGTGTAATATTTTGTAACCGACATTTTTAATCATTACGTTTTAGTAAAATTTAATGTAAATACTCTTTAATTATTGCTTTAATTTTCCTGAAAAATTTTTCGCATTATCAATGCAGATACAGACAAATATTTAGTAATATTTAAATTAAATATATTAAATCTTGTTTCAAATCAATCTTTTTTTCCTTATGTTTTAAACATATAATTTTATTATGGGCGTCATAGTTATATTTAAACTTCCATTTCGCTTGTTAATATTGTAGTATACCTATCTCTCGATGGTACACAAAAGATTGATGAAAAGTTCACACTATTTATAAAATCTTTATTAATCACAAAACAAACACACAAATTTATCCGTCCTTAATTATCTAAACATAAAAATGTGCCGTCTCTCACTAGAAACCTTCACTGTCCCTCTACTGTGTGCTTACGTCCTTAAATATTATTTAACAAAGTGCTGCCTCAGCTCATTTGCTCCGTTGTCAAAATATTACGCAATTAAAACGTTTAACTAGCTGGCACATGCCACATACAACAATAACATGCATTTTTCAATTTTTTTAGTATTCAAAATAAAGGTTCAAATCTTAAAAAAGATATCTTACCTTAGATGTAAGAACTATAACATAATTCTATAGTTCTTTGTGATATTTTTAGTGTATTAATATATGATGATTGATAAAGAAAATTAAACTTTAAATTTATAAAAACTTATAAGGCTGAGGAACATAATAACATCCGGCTGATCAAAGGAAAATAATATACTACTAGTATTAATTTGCGTTACTACTGCTAAACAAAATTATTTTTGCTGTTGTAAATATGTCGGAATAATTTATAAAAAAAATCGTGAAAAATTAAAATAAAATCAACGAACAATATGCTAATATCATAGACAAATTAATCCCAAATTTTTATGCACGAAAATGTAAAACATAAAACTGTATACTTATTGCATAAATAATGTAATACCGCATTGTAATAGAATTAAATTTTTATTTGTTAGAATTCTCAAGTACATATTTAATAAACATTTGGATATTTAAATTTTATGGTTATATACAATATAAAAATCAAGCAATATAATTTATGTACCTAAACTGATAAACTGATGTAAATAATATGAATTACTAATTACTATATAATACAAAATATAAACTAAAAAACTTAATTAAGAAACTGAGAATATACTTAAAACAAATATCAGTAAATTGATAATAATTGTAAAAGAGTTGATAATGATTGGTGTGTATGATATGCACCTCATATCATTGTTATTCTCTTGGTATAAACTATAAAATAAAAAAAAAGTAAAAGTTGTATAAAAATATTCGGAATGTGAACTTAATAAGAGCTTATAGTCATGTAACACTTTTATAAGTATGACGAGAAAAAGCTGAGGCTTAACAAGACTTTTCAATTATGTGGAACCAAATAATACAAATCAAAATATGATAAAATATAGAATAAATATTAAATTTTACTGATCATATCCTTTAATAAAATTTAAGAGTTTAAGAATTTAGTTTAGCTTCAATTTTTTTTTCATATTTTAAACTTTACTCTTACATATGTGTACCATTTGTACCACCTAACATTATATTTTTTCATTTTGATTGTTAAAACAGTTGTCTTTGAAATAAACACATAAAATATTTATTTATTTGTTTTAATGTTTACAATCCAAAATAAATAGGCACTCTTTTAGTGTATACAGTATCATAGTACCTAAGTTGAATGCGATCATTTTAAATTTGTTCTTTGAAAAAAAAAGTTGTAATTATCTAATTTGAAATATCTTTGTAATTATCTAAACAAAAGGCTATGATTTCATATAAAGTTTTAATAATATTAACTTTTACAATTAATATAAGCCACTGTAATTATTCTAAAGAGCAAATCCAAAAAGGTAACGAACAACAATTAGCTTATAAAATATATTTTACCTATTTCTAAATAATTGAAAACTGTTGATTAAAAAATGTTAAGTAAAAATTAGGTTATAGATTCATTATTTTGAAATGAAATAACACAAATTCACACAATATTACTATTAATTTAGCTTATTTAGTTTTCTTGTACAACCGAATGATAGGAATAAAAAACTCCATAATAATATTAATAGTACTATATAATGATAATAACAATACAATATTATTGCAATTTTATTATTAAGATCATAGTTATTAATAACTATTTAATTTTCATTCGTTTAAGTTGCATGTACTTATTTTAACTTTTTCGGAGGATTATTTACTGACACAATTTATTGCTGATTATTTATCATATCTGGTTTGATGTTATTTTTTAAGATTTAAGATAAAAATGTAGATTTGAATGATACTGATTTGTAAATTTAAATTTCAATTTGATGCCTATAATGATTGATTAACTTGAAATATTAAATAGGTCATATATTAATAAGTTACAAAAAAAACTCTGTAAAAGTTATAAATATAGATCAAATGTTGTACCTTTCCATATATTTTATCCTAAATTCACACGATGAGTGAGCAAACCCCAGTCTCACGCGCCTTCAAAAATTATGATTGATATCTTTACTCTGTGACGTATTGAAGTGAATACCCAAATATCCAGGGTTGTTATGTTTAAAACATTCTGTTTTAATCAGACGTTTAAAACAAGTTTAAAACATGTAATAAAAACCTTTTACTTTAAAACAAAACAAACAAAACAGTGTTTAAATCAATGGTTTTTTATCAACATGTTTTAAACACATAAAAAATTTAAAATTATATTAATTTTTTTTAATTTTTCTTGAAGTCAAAATCTAAAAAAATGAGTAATATTTTGTAAATAGTTCATTGTATTTTTATTTTTATATATTAAATACAAATAAGTAATTATTAATTATAGTGTTACAAATAAAAATAAATAAACATAACTTTCTTTTGGTTTTACCTATAATAATAATATATTAATATGATAAAAAATGTAAAACAAAATTTGAAACTTGCTGTAGTTGTAAATAATTGTAATACTTTCAAGTTTAAAACATGATATACTAATAATAACATAATAATATAAACTATATAGAATTTAAAAAAAAACTTCCTTTTATACAATGAAAATATAACTTGAAACAATTGAAATCTTATAATGCAAATTGTATATCTTAAAAATATAATAATTGACAATTGAGATCATATATTACTTGTTTAAGTGCTTGAAAATAGTTACCAATTTTGAGCACTTCTCAACACCCAAACGATTTCTTGATTTTGAATGTATAAAACCAAATGATGAAAATAATCTTTCTATTCCTGCCGAACTACATACAGCTGTAAATAACTGCATTGTCAATATGTTAAGATCAACTGATATTAAGTTCCTTTTAAATAAAGCACTCCGCCATGCCATTGGACTAATACTCTTGACAGTGTCAGGGTGAAATAAGTATGGTTTAAATGGACTACACTGTGCTTGATAATTTATTATTTCGGCCATTATATTCGGATGATAGCTATAGATGTATTGCAATGCTGAATCAGACTCTTCTTCAGATAAACGAGAACCATTATGTTTAGGATCTAACATATTTGCCAAAAAATGAGGTAGTGTTACAGCCATGTCATATCTGTCTTTCAGTTTTTTAACCTCATTTAAATTACAATTTTTTTCAAAAAATTCTAATAAATCTTTCCATACATCAATAGCGTCACTCAAAGTGCAAGAATCTTTTTGGATTTTATCTAATGAGATTGATATCATTTTAAGTTTTCTAAAGTAATCTTCAGCATTTCTTTTCATTTCCATATCTTCGATTTTTCTAATTATAGTTGTATCAATAGCTGCACGGTTGTTTGAACACACTGAACTTAAAATATGCAAATTTTCTAAATAAGACTGTAGACAGTCAGAAAAAGTGTTCCAGCGCACATCAGATGGTAAGATTAATGTTTTACCACCTGCTTGTTTATATTTGGCTCCTATTTTATGACTATTTCTAAAATACTTGATGACTTGTTTAATATTTGATTTTATACTATCAACTTCTAAATCATGTGCCAATAAGTTTAAAATATGTGCACTGCATCCATATGTTATGATATCACATACATTATTATTAACAGCACCAATTTCATCAATTTGAGCAAGTTCTTCTCGCATTTTTGCCATATTAGCAGCATTGTCAGTGACAAAGCTTCGAACAGTACAATTGTATTTCTGGCAATTGCTTATTGCCTCAACAGCTAAATTTAATAGATACTCCTAGTTGTGAGAGTTATTTTGAGTGTCGATTGTTTCAACCAAATAAACAGCTTTTTCAGTAACATCATAAACAGAAATACATACTACAGGTTCATTATGGATATTGCTCCATCCATCCATTGACATGCATACACTTTTACCGTTTAATTGTGATTTAATTTCAGAAATAGTTGTATTGAAAACCTCATCGAGCAAATTATTTGCAATATTATGCCTATTTGGTAATTTATAACCAGGTCTTAGTTGATTGATGAGTTTTACAAATTCTGGATGCTCTACATGTCTAAATGGTGTGTTAGTACCATAAACAAATTTTTCTGTCTGTAAATCAAACTTTTTTTTGTCTATCTGAGTTGTTCGAATAACAAAATCTCCTATGGAATTTGTGAATGTTTGTGGTGTATCTTTTTTTATTATTGAACTGGAAAAACTAGAAATAGTAGATTTAGAGGCAATATGTTTGTTAGTTTCACATACTTAATTTGAAAAAAGTTGCAATGTACTACTGGTACTGTTGTTAAGACTAAGATTGTCATCATTCGATAAATCTATAAAGTAAACATAATACATATAAGTATACAACTATGATGTGTGGTAGATAATTGTCAATTGATGTTGATCATTAATTCATTCATATTATGAGGTTACCTACTAATTAGTTATGAATTATAATTATAGATATAATAGTTTTTCAGTATAAAATGTTGAGTAAAAAATTTAAAAATTCAAACTACAATGTAATATTTAAAAATGTACCAAATATAAGTACATTTAAATAGTTAATTAACTATTTAGTATTTACTAATGTACTATGCATAGACTTAAAAAGAAATATATAATTATTTATTACCAATGGTATCATTGTATGAGCTTTGACTGCTTTGAGTGCTTTGACCATCTTCAAAAATATTGTCATTAGTGTTATCTTCAACTTCAAGTTGGCACTTTACTAAATGTTCTTTCATTCTTTTTACTAAAGAAGACATTTCTTTAGAACATTTTTTACACCTAATAGAAAAAAATAAATCAAAATCTAACTAATTATTAAATAGGTATTAAAATTACCTATTATATACCTATTTTCTATTTTATTTAAGTAGTTAATAGGTATGTAAGATATATAATAAGGTATGTAGTTTTGAACTAATAAAATCAATTTCTATTTTAACTTAGTTATTTTATACTAAAAAAATTAAAAATTAACTAGTTGAAAAAAATGACTAACCTATAGAGTATAAATAATACATATTAATATATTATACACCTAACCTAATGAGTAATGGCTAGTAAATATTATAGAATAATAGGATTTTATGTACCTCGCTCTGGTAGTTTTAAATACACTATTTGGAGGTAATTTAATGAATGAACTCCAAACATTGTATTGTGGTCTACCACTTAATGGAGCCATTTCTTGCTTCAAACTTCAGAATTAATTTTTTTGTTTTGACGTATTCGTCATGTTAATACGGATGTAGTAAACCGACGTTTTAGTACAAAAACGTAGGTCTAAAGTCCAGTGACCTAAACTATATCACGCCACCAAATCGGACCACTGATGCTTTTACCTGATTGGATTAGAAACATCACGCCACTTCCATGACGTCAATCATCCTTTCCTAATCTACGGCATGTCTCATAAAAATAGGAGCCCTCTTCACAGGGAGCTCCAGAGAGTAGTTCATACACAAACGTTTCACCCATGCTTACCAAAAGCCTCTAGGGAAACGTTCCACACACATATTCTCTCCGGTTTAGTATTTCAATACTAAGTCGTAAACACTTCTAAAAGATTTATATTTTAAAGTCATTTTATATTTAATAAATTGTTAAAGTAAATATTAATATTTCGTTATTAATAATTAAAACTCAAACCTCTACCCTTCCTATACTACGACGTTGTACTTGACATTGTGCATTCGTCGTTAAAGAAGCATTGTAGTAAACTACGTTCGAGTGACAGCGACGGTTACTACACGGACAATACGGTCGTCGACAAATTTTATTTATTCTGGGCGGGCGTGCGGTAGACGTCGACATTCTATACATTACTTTCTGTCCTTTCAGACTTCTCCCAATAATACTAGCCTACAACAAGATATTTGTGTTTGAGTCTCCGCAGTCCGCACAGACGAGAGGTTGAAATTGTTTAATTCGGCGAGGTCTAAGATTCCTGGTATTTTTGTATTATTAATAGTCGGTTTTCGGAATAAAAGAAGATAACCGATATTCATAATATTTAACTATTATTATAAATTATTCGAAATGGGCTCCACGTGGAGCCTCGCTTATTACTCTCTTCACATAAGCCAATGAAATAATAATATTATGTACTGATGTCTGATATAACTATATAAGTAGAGTAAGTACAAAAATGTGTTGTACCGGACAGCGAATGGTCGCCCGGTTCAAGTCGTGCCGCAGTCAATGTGTTAATTGATTACAAAGTATTTATTTAATACTTAGTATTTATTAAAATGTATTTATTTATTAATGTCAAACTCACACGTACATCATATAAGAACTAGATAATTCACTCATATTAAAACGCATTAAATTAGTAAAAAGTTACATTAATAATTGAATTTAAAAATGTGACTTTTATTTTAAATGTGTAGTTACGTTTAAAACATAATATAAAACATGTTTAAAACGTTTTATACACAAATTATCATGTTATAATAAAAACATGTTTTAAACATAAAAACCCCGTTTAAAACATAAAAATCGTTTGAAACAAAGTTTTTTAACAACCCTGCAAATATCTCATAGTATGACTATTTATATCAGATTCAAATATCTAATGATTGTTTTTAAAATTGACACAACGAATGAGGAAACGAGATGTTGACTAACGAATTGAAAGTTTTAATATACAGTCAAATTCGCTTATTACGATCTTCAAGAAATTAAGAGAATCTGATCATTATAACCGAACTTCGTTATATCCGGATTATTAAATGTAACAACACATACAATGTAAAACCAACCAAATACATTGCTTGGAATCGTTCTACACGGAATATCGTTGTAAACGGCATCGTTATAAGCAAATTAGACTGTAATAATTATACTGCTAAATGAAGATCCCTTGTTTTTTATTAAAATATCGTTTCTGTTGTTTTAATTATTAAATTTGTTTTTTACTGTCATCACGAATGTTATTATTGTATTATTATTATAACTACTATTATTCACACAACCATTACTATTATATTCCGATATTTTTTAATAAATTAATTAATTAATTATAGTAACTATGTATTATATAGTTATACATATTATATTCTCTAGTTTATTAATTTAGGAATATAAATTATATTGATTAATTTAATATTCAATATTAAGAAGTATTAAAATACTTGAAAATTTAAATATGTAATTAAAAATCAATTAATTACAATATAATTCGGATGATACATCATTTAATAACTTTAAAACTTTGTGTACCTAAGTGTCTCTGCATAATCAAAAACGGCTGTATGTGCACTCCATAACCACATTCAAATATTATTTTGTTTACATACAAAGATACTGTAAAATTACACAATACAATCTATGTTTACAAATAATATGGAGTTCACACTCATATGCATATCACCACACTTGCATGTGTGTACATAAAATAAAACACAGAATTTTAAGTGGTATGTAATTTCAACAAAAAATATAATTACGTGAAATGTAAAAAGTTCATAGACTTAACAATTAATCAATTTTAAAGTATTCAAAATATGTAAATGATAAATCCCACGATCAACCATTGTGTTTTATATTATAACGCATAATATACGTAATACTAAATACATTTTAAATATCAAATAATAAACTTAATGCAGATTTAATATTTGTTTTCAGAATGCGATAGTAATACATTTTAAATTAGTAAATTACAGTTAATACATTTTACAAATTATTAATAGATATTACATATATAACTATGATAAAATGGGTTTATTGTATTATGTACCTACATAACATACTTTTATAATATTTCAAGCTTTGTCTTATATTAAAATTTAAGTATTCATAATAATTATTAAGTAAAAATTATTTTATTTTATTTTTTAGTATGCTATGGTAAGACAAGTTTTTATGTCAATATATTTTTGTTTATGCATTTTGCAGTCTATTTGTATAGCATAACCATGATAAAATTACTTAATCTTGTGTGCTAGTCATGCTTTTACGATATTTAAACTATAATTTTTAACTTTTATTCTGTATCTACATTTAAATCTTTATTATTCATTAATTTCCTATCGGTGATTTGTTTTCCAAATAACATTTTCAATTTCATATAAAGCGATGAACGAATTGTTTTTGCAATGGTGTTTGTTTTAAAATTCCAAGGGGAGCAATTTGTTGTTAATTTTTTAAAATATGAGATTGAAAATTTATATTTACATTACTTTTTCTTAATCATTTAAATTTAAATTTTCTATAGAATTCGTCAAAATCTCGAAAAGTACAAATTATTTTATAGTTAGAAATTCATAAAAATGTTTCGGTATATGTCCAACATAATATTAGGAATGTATAATAACTAAAATTGTTTTTAAAACAATTATTTATAGAGATACTCATTATTAGTAATCATAACGATAATTACGCATCTGGTTAATGGTTAATAATAACCAAAACTGGTCGTAACTCGCTCTACATTTGGCGCTGCCGCCAACAATTCTAGTGATGGCAATTCTTTGTTTACTACCACGTTATCGACGGCGACCGCTATTATAGCCGACTAAAGGCGACAAATTTAATAGTAAAGCAATTAAACTCAGTCAATGTTGGGGGGAGGTCCAGGCGTTACTACGCGGTTTATTTGGATGCGCCATGGCAGTGCGCCCTTATATTTTTTGAAACGGAATGTACGAATTAAGTTTAATCTTCTTCTTTCTTCTTATAATATAAAACGAAGAATTATAGTTCGCTTTTTTTCCGATTGGTATAGTGTCTCGACCAATCGGAAATACATTTTTTTCCATCTATATATGTCACCCCGTCGTTATTTCCCGCCGTTATCGTTATCGGTCGTTTTATTCTTATTATACCGTTTTTCTGCTTTTCGCCCGATTTTCCAGCCTTCAGAGACCTTTTTCCGTCGCGTAAGCGCGTCTTTTTCGTTCCGTCCGTGTGCATTTTTCCCGCGGATTCGATCCGTTACGGAGGCGGCCGCCCGTTTTTCTCTGGTTTTTTTTATGCGCGAGTAGGTTTCGCCTTTTTCGCGTCCGCGTGTTTTCTGATCGCGTGGAACGCATGTTTCGCGAGCCTTTTAGTGTCATAATAACGCTAGAATTTCAACTTTCGGTGTGGTTTCTGGTAGTTAATAAATAAATTAGCATCATTTGGTACTTTAAGAATATCACAATTAAATAGTATTTTTCTAAATAACTCTCTGTAAAAAAAAAAAAATAAAATTGAAATTAAAATAGAAGTAAGGCAAATAACATTATTATTCAGGCTACTTGCAACATCTGACGCATATTATTATATTTCTTACATACGATGAGATTTTTATTAAATAGTTTATTTTAATACTAATAAATCATAAAATATATGGTGGCAAATAATATTTGCTTAATTGACATATACATTACAGTGACTTACTGATAAATTAAAAACCAGGGATCTGGACTTTATGCATTTACATATTTGTTCGAGAAATAGATAGTAAAAATAGGATTCGATATATTATATTTGTTTTTTTTATACTCATAAAAATGTCAAATTTAAAATCGATATTTTATTATGCATATTGCATATGTATGCGCATAAGTCCCGAGCCCTGCTGATAACTAATGAATTACATTTGGAATTTAATGTACATCAAAATGGGTATCTACTTATTCTATAATTTTCATGAAATAATTTTTAATTTAATTTTATGTTTACATATTATATTATATGTATAATATTGGAAACAAAACAACAGACAATTTAAAATTAGTTGGGTTTGTTTGTAAGTATACTTATTTATAGTATTAAAATTAAGTGTTATCAGATCAATTTTTGTTATTTTTATTATATATTAATCATATTAAATATGTGTAACTATTTTATAATTATTACCATGTCTGTGAATTTAAAACTATGAAAAGCATCAAAAAATCTTTTAAAATTTCAAAAATGCAATAAAATATGCACTTAAAATGATAAAAATGTAATACCCTCGCAAACATCGAAAAGGTACTAAACGACAACAATCTACTAAGATTATTAATTAACCAATTTAATCTGAAAATTCGAGAATGATATTATAATGATATGCCACAAATAAATAGCAATATTGCCTTATTTTATCGAATCAATAACTTTAACCCGCATACAGCTTGTGTAAAATATAAATTTGACGTTTACACAGCCCGTGTAAAATAAAAATATATTCTCAAAAATATTAATTGACAGAATTTGATTAAAAATACAAAAAAATTAACTAAAAATGAAAATTTAAAAACGTCAAATAATTCAAAACATAATTTTCATAAATGGATTTTTTGTTACATAATTCAAATTCATAATCAGTAAAAAAAATATAATTCTTAAAAATTTCAAACCTTAATTATTACATATTATGTGTATTCTATATAATATGTTAATATTACAATTGTACGATACATAAATCTGCGTATAATAGGAGATGTAATAAACGTCTGTTGTATTATATTATGTATTAATGTAGATACCGTGCCATTTATAAATTACGCCCTTGCAAGGAGATATGGTAAGTAATTTAGTGAGGTTACAATTTATATCTTTAACATATATTTGACGCCTGCGCTTAAAATAAATATTAAAACATATAATGTACTCTTACACCCTATATAGGGCGTATCGTAAATCTGTATAATAAATGAATGCAATATAACAATATTTTTTTTCTATTTATTTTGTGGCAACTCATATTTGCGGATAATCATCATGAAATATTAGCTACTTTAATTGGAATTATTACAATTCAAAAAAAAATAGATTTGGGTTTAAGCAAAAAAAATATAGACAAGGTGAGTTTTGTAAATTTATTTTAAACGTAATATTCATCAATTCAACTCTCTTATAATTATAAAAAATTTATAAATTTTTTTTTTTTTTAATAAAAATAAAGCAATCAGTCATTTTATAGTTCTTTTAATATCTACGTACATAAATACTTAATGTTTATAAAACGAAATTAATAATTATAAGAAATATTTACACTCAATCCACATTTAATAAAAACTTTCAAAATGTAATATTATAAATTATTTAGTTTAAACCTTAGAAACTAATTAGCATATTAAAAAACTAACGCTAGCATAGTATTGATTATTTTTTAAGACTTTGTAAATGAGAATGAGAACAATAATATTATAATAAATCAATTATATTTTTCAAAGCAATTTCAATATTTTTTTCTTCAAAATATTTCTTTAAAATACCGATGATATTTACCATAATTTAAGTATAGTTCTATAAATTGTTTATTTACACATTCTTAACGTTTGAAACTCAATTCAATTTTATTCAAAAACATACCTTCGACTAACCAACTATAAAAATGATACCTGATAACGATATCATAATTCATTTTATTATTCAGTATGTCATTAATACACTCCAATTAGACGATAAAATAAAAAAAAAAAAAACGCTTTAGATATTACCTTATTGAATTAAAATACTTACTGTAGTAGGGTAAAAAAGTCGATTCAGCGTCCCCCCGCAAAACCACAAAAACCATTTCACCAGCCCGCCCTAAATATTTTTCTTAGTTATATTTATATATTATTGTTAACCCTTTCTAAACCCCCCCCCCCCCCCCCCCACCGTCTAGGTATTTCACTTATTTGAATAACGACTATACTAATTAACTGGTTACTGCACTCTGGTATAGACAATTAAAAATAAATGTACTTCGAGTAATTTCTTATTAATAGCTATTACTACTACTTATTGATATGTGTTTATTTGTTAAAAACAAAAACAAAAACTAAAAAAAAAAAAAATAAAAAAAAACAAAATGTTTTTGCTTTTCGATAATGAGTGCCATTGTGCAAGTTAAATGTATAAAAGCGTGATGTCTTTGCACGATTAAGTTAAAGTGTTTTCTTAGTTTATGGAAACAACTTGTGTACTACTAAAAATATGATCAAATGCAGCGAATGTGATAAAGTGTATACGGGAAAAAGTAGTTTGATACGCCATGTCAAATCGCACAATAGTGATAAGATTCAGTGTTATGAATGTAAAAGAACTTTCATTTGGCGAGATGTTTTATCGAAACATATTCTTAAACAACATGGTATGTATTCTTTGATTATTATTATTATTATAATTTAGCATATGCGTTCAATACTAAGAATACTATTTTTATTAGGCTATACTAAACACGATGATAATTACAATTATGCGATGGGTATAACGGCCGGTCGAAAAGCATTAAGTAAATATTAATTATTTTATTATGCTATTAATTCTTTTGTAGTGTTAATTATATATATATATATATATTATATTATTAAAATGTTAGGTTCGGGCAATGTGTTGATGAAAGGCTGCATTTCACATTCATCAAATACGGTCGATACGATTCAATCACACACCTCTGCAGCTTCCCCCATTATCCCCGTCAAACGATCTAACAATAATTCACTCCAAAATAAAATTAAAAAAAAAAAAAACTCGCATTGGTTCTAGTAGTCCAGGTTTTAATGAAATAGACTCTTCATTTCATAGAACAATAGTATGGTACTATAGGAGTAATACTGAAAACTGTATGAATTATCATTCGTTCTTCGAATTAATAAAATTGGAATTGATTGAAAAAATTAATTTTTACGTTCGTATTAAACCTATTAAATATAATTTGAAGTTGGAAAGCGTGTATACACATCAAAAATTACCGGTAGAGGATCAATCTTTTAAAACGTCATCGAGGGCGGCTTACCTCCATAGCGATGTAAAGTCGATGGTTGAGGATGATTTTGCATTATTATGTTATGGGCTACGAGATGTACTAATAATATAATATAATATAATATTCATGAGCTACGAGATATGCTAATATGTAATATATGTGTAATATTGCTATAGGTATTAGCAATAGTGATCTAAATATATATGTGATCTAATAATTATAATGTATACGAATATTAGATTCATATTTTGTAAAAACATTGTAATAAATCAAAATAGTAGTTCTTAGGCGAGGTCGTTTTGCGTTTACAAGAATTGCCAGTAAGTCGATAACATCCTGGAGATTGTTGTTTCAAATGTGAAAACAATTCCAAGAATTAATCTAAATTGGAAGGTTGACGATTACAACAACAAGAGATTTTCTTGTATATAAGGGAGTCCGAAGACCAACAAGGGCAGATGTACCAGAGCTACGAAGAACAGAGCAACTTCACGACACTCAGCCACTTCTTATATCAGTTACATGTATTTTATTTATACAGATTAAACATTATTGTAATTAAAAGTTGTACAATTCATTTTAATAACACCTTGGATCTGGATCTGATATTGGCACGCAACAATTATTAACTGAAGAGGATGCGTATATGAGTAAAGGAAGTGGATTTACTCTATCTAGTATCGATGGGTTACTATTAGGAGTTTACGAATACACTCCACTACGGGGTTCATCGTATAATAGACTTCCGGAAAATATAATACGAAAAAAAAGCTGTAATCAATCCTAATAATAGTGATGAACAATGTTTCAAGTGGGCTGTTCTCACTAGGCATGTAAAGGGGTGTAATAAAAAAAAAGTAGGGCGTAATCATTTTAATGAGGAGTGGCGTTATGATTTTTCCGGGCTTACTTTCCCGACACCTGTTTCTGAAATACGAATATTTGAGCGGCAAAATCCGGGAGTGTCGGTTAATGTACACGGGCTAAAAATCGCTCAGTGAAAAAAAGGGGGGGGGAGATAATAAAAATAATAGTGATAAGGAATGTGATGAGGATAAAAGAACGAATGAAGTGTATCCGATTAAAGTTATCGATAAAGAAAAGCAAGATCATTTTGATCTTTTACTTGTTGAAGGTAAAACGCGTTTCTATTACACTTATATATCTAACTTCTCTAGGCTGGTGGGAGCTCAGTTGACTTCGCACAGTCACCAATTATTTATACGCAAAAGATGCTTTTCTTCATTTGATAATCAAATTAAAAATAAACTTATCGGTAATGAAGCTTTACAACGACATAAGAGAATATGTATGCTAAATAATTCTTCCGGTTATGCCGGAAGAAGGAGCACAGCTCAAGTTTGACGGGTGGAGAAACATGCAGCGGCATCCGTTTGTGATTTACGCAGACTTTGAAGCTTTTCTCGAAAAACGGGGGGGGGAAGCTAGGTTCAAATACAAAAGTCGTACATGATCATAAACCGATGAGTTATGGTTTTTTCGCCAAGATAGCGGAAATCGTACCCATAGCGTTATTGGATAAATATGACATTCCACGGTCTCCGATTATTTATCGAGGTTCGACGTCATGTGAAGATGTAACAAAACACTTTGTGATAAGCATCACAGCAGTTGTCGGCAAGTTGGGTAACCTGTTGAAAAGTACTAACGTACCGATAATGATTAGTGGAGATGAAAATCGTATACACTTTATCACATTCTCTGCATTTGATCATATTTTTAGTAATACACAAGTTGTTTCCATAAACTAAGAAAACACTTTAACTTAATCGTGCAAAGACATCACGCTTTTATACATTTAACTTGCACAATGGCACTCATTATCGAAAAGCAAAAACATTTTGTTTTTTTTTATTTTTTTTTTTTTTAGTTTTTGTTTTTGTTTTTAACAAATAAACACATATCAATAAGTAGTAGTAATAGTATATTATATTATCTTATTAATAAGTAGCTATTAATAAGAAATTACTCGAAGTACATTTATTTTTAATTGTCTATACCAGAGTGCAGTAACCAGTTAATTAGTATAGTCGTTATTCAAATAAGTGAAATACCTAGACGGTGGGGGGGGGGACAGTTTAGAAAGTGTCAACAATAATATATAAATATAACTAAGAAAAATATTTAGGGCGGGCGGGTGAAATGGTTTTTGTGGTTTTGCGGGGGGACGCTGAATCGACTTTTTTACCCTACTTACTGTATATAATCATTGCTAGTAAGATACTAGAAAAACAAAGTATTAATCATTATCTATTATCAACAAGTTACACACAATAAAAGTTAAACAGAAGAAGATGTTGTTATCTTTAGATAGGTATTTGAATAATTAGTAACAAACAGAATTTAACTCACAATCTGTTTTTTGTAGTTTAGTACTCTATGTTTTCTTGTTTTTTGAAACTATGCAATGATAATAATGGAGAAAATCTTATTTTTTTTTAATTTTATGGATTCTTCAACTTTTAATAAATTATTACTAAAATCACAAATTAAAGATTTATCATGTTTTATTTTGTTTCCAGCAAAAAGAAAAATATGGTGAAACACTAATTGGAAGAGCTAAAATTTTTAGTATGTTATTTAATACATTTAGATAATCGCTACGGATAATTATTATCTTGTATTATGTCATAATCAAAGTTTTAAATTATTCAATTAATCAAGGTTTTGTTGGTTAAGAAAACTGCTGCTTATTATAACTATCGACTGCGTATACCCAAATCAAATTCAGGCATACATTTTTAATAACTTATTATAATATTATATGGACGATATAATTAGGTAAATTTAAAAATAACTAATTGTTGTTATATATTCACTATTCACATATTATAATTTGTTGTAAGCAAGTTTGAGTGTAACAAACTAACAAATAATAAACGATAGCCAGAAAATTTTGTCCAGATAACGGAAATCCTAATTTTATTAATTCGTCATTGATGAAAGTATTTGTATTATATTATAATCATGTAGAATTTGACACATATTAAAAAAAATACTATTAAAAATAAGGAAACTAATATATAGATTATAATATTTATAATTTTTGACAGGATATATACTCAACTACTACAATGAATCTAGAGAGTTTGAACCTAGGCGTAAGTATAATTCTTAAAATGTTTCAGGTTTTATAGGTATTTGTTCAAATTATTTATAAAGTTTATTTTAAACGAGTTAAACTTAAACTTATGATTGCATTTTTCTATTTATTATGTATCAAGCGAAAAAGGAAACAAAATCAAATAACACAGTTTTTTTATTCATTTATTACAGCTGTCGTGATAAATCCACAAGAATATTGTGAAGAACTAAGTGAGTAATAGAATAAACATGTAAATAAAATAAATTCAAATTTTTCTACTATAAATTTTCCATCCTGTATTTTTTTTACCAAAAAAAAGGAATAAGTTTTTCCAACATTAACAATACGCGCAGTGGTGGAAAATTTTACGGTTAATTTTTTAAAGTAACAAAAAATTTTTTTTTATTGTTTAATTATTGATAGTTGTCTTTATTTAATATCAAATGTTGTCAAAATATACAAAATTAAACTTAATAGCGAAAAATGATGGGTATTCGACGAATATCGAATTGGTAAATTTGTGAGATGGTTATATATTTAGAATAAAATACAAAAACAATATCGTGTTTATATTGGATATTATAACTTTTAGTTTTTGAATATCCCATAAAAAGACAAAGTAGACGTGTACAACATCAAATTGCATAACTAAATCAATGTTTATTGTTCAAATTTAATGTCATTGACGTGTGCATAGTGTGACATAAACATTTTAACATGCTTATTTATGCTCAGTCGTTGAAATACATTGAAAGTATGCGTGTTTTATGTTCAGTCAATATAACAATAATTATTCGTCTTTTATCAGTCTCAATCATTGAGTGCAATTAATTAAGAATTTCTTATTTGTTATTAGGTACTTAAATCATTAGATTTTGACGTGGTTTTTCAAGTACCAAACTATCGTTAAAAATAAAATAAAAGAAAAGCACCTTGAAAATATAAAATGTAGGAATTTATGGTCTGATTTAAAGAATGGGTCGACTTCGTCAACGACAAGTCTTTAAAGTATCAGATATAAATACAAAATCATAGGTAAAAGTAACTTTTATTATTTAATTTTATTAAAACCCTTAAATATCTGTGTACATTACTTTTATTTTTTGGAACGAACTCAATCGTTTTTTATAATTAATACCAAATCTACCAGAAATAGAAATTAAGAAAATTACTAAATTAATAATGATTTTAAAACATACTTAAAATAATCACCTGCCACATTAGTTTATTACTAATGGATAAGGAAATAAAATGGTTGTTAATTTTAGTTATTTGTTAATTATGGCTGTAAAATTAAATAGATACTGCACAATATGTATTTCGCAATATTAATTGTATTCATATAATAAGCGATTTTTCGCAGCAACATTTCTGTCCACCCGATCTCTGGCGACCGTTTCTACTTTTTTTGTTATTACGCAACCGTTGTCCGGTACTTTTGTCAGCTAGACGCTATGCCTACCTTTTAATACCACGTGATTTGTGTGCATTATGTGTTAATTTTTTCTGTGTGCGGGTTTGGGTTGCCTACACTACCCGTTTTATTTTAAGTCTACACGTATCTCTTCACATTCACTGACATAGATTAAAATTTACATCAAATTAATGCCATGGCGAGTTCAACGACCTGAAATCATGATATTTTATCCGTCGTCGTCGCCGTATTCGACCGTTAATTGTGACTACCGTCATCGTTATTATATAAATATATATAATAATGTATTATTATTTATTATTATTTATTTATATCATATTTCCATATTGTATTTCTTTTGTGTATTTTATAATATATATACTATCGCCGGTCAAACTCGCTGTAAGTGAATACCCTAGGTCGGTGATACTCACTGTATGTGAATATCCTCGGTAGCTGAAAATCGTTTAAACTGAATTTCTTGGGTCGGAGACAGGACTTTGGAATACCGAAGTCACATGGCTAGTAGGCGAAACCAGTGATAACGACGTTTGAGACGTTGGTACCTCTGATTTGGTGGCTCTACACTTTGGCGGTGTTGTTTTAAACGCGTAAATAATAATAAAAGTATATAAAAGTCCGATTCGAGCGTTTAGTAGTCGGTAATTTCATTAAATTTACAGGTGTAATATACCTTGTCCCGTAGCTTGTTATGAAAATGGCAATTTAGTGTCTAGGTATCAGTCATCGCCCAGTGAACATCAATTCCTGACCCGGAATATACCTCCTGACGTCGAAGGCGTTGTGCTGTTCAGTACGTAAAATAGATTAAGTCGAATCGAAATTTTCGATTTTCAAGTGATCACAATTGAAAATCCAGTTAAACGCGTTTTAACCTCCCAGGTAGGCGATGTGGGCATAAAGAGGATATTTTAAAGGTAATATGGAAAATACATATCAAACGTTAGCAATTCGTGGTAAATAGAGATTTAAAGATCAATAAACTCTATATATTTAGTATTTCTTGATATTTTATAGATAGTTAAATATCGAAAAGAAATATGCACTTTCCGTAATAATAAAATATTAAAAATTAAAAAATGCAAAAATTCTGAAGGTTGTGTGTCATTCGTTGCGCCGCCTGATATTCGCCGGAATAGGATTCTAACCTGCCTACCTAACGTTGGGGGAACCTATCCTAACACCTTTCGATTATCGTTTGAGTTGAAAAATATGACCGAATCTCGGGCAATTAAGCCGTTATAGAGATACGACGAATACTATATTACACGCGTTTAACTAATGCAATTTTTACGATTCGTGTGTCATGAAACCGTAAATCGCATATTTATTGTCGTTTAGAGTGTTGCTGATGTATTCGATTATATTTATTAATTGTATACGTCTTAATGATTTACCAAGTTTATTATCACATATCACGATATCACCCCTATTGTATGCAATTAAAAGTATTTAAACGACTCGAGAGTAAGACTTTTAAGATCTGTTTTGTAAAACACATAAGAATCTGTTAAACCCGACGCGTGTTAACAATCATACTCACGTTTCTTTTTGATACACTTAATCGTATTTCATACGCTTTCGAGACAGTACTGATGAGGTCGCGGAGGCGTCCGAGGGTGGAGACACCGAAAACAAAACAACACGTTTCGGAGACGGATAAATAATTTATTGAATCGTAAAAAAAGAAGCAGGAGTATACGTGACGATACGATAACCGATCAAAGAACACACCGCGAATAAACATTTCCAGTCGTGACGGCGACGGCTACGAACAGAATTCGGGTCACGTAGCACGCGAGCGCTCACGAAAGACTCGTTCAACGCGATCAGAAAACGCGCGGACGCGAAAAAGGCGACGTTGGTCGGTGGGCGGCTGTCTCCGTGACCGATACGGCCGCGGCCGAGGACCGAATCCGAGCGAAAAACGCACTCAGACGGGACGAAAAAGATCCGCTATTCGCTATAACATCGAAAACGCGACGGAAAAAGGTCTCTAAGGGCCGGAAAATCGGTCGAAAAGCGGAAATAACGGTATAATAACAATAATAATTTCGAACGCGACGTCGACGGCTCGGACGGAATTTAGAAACACACGGCACACGCTCGGCTCGCAAAAGACGCGTTCTACGCAGTGAGAAAACGTGCGGACGCAAAAAAGGTCTCTAAAGGCCGGAAAACCGGGCGAAAAGCGGAAAAAATGGTATGAAAACTACGATAACGACTGATAACGATAACGGCGGGAGATAACGACGGGGAGACATATAGATAGAAAAAATTTTAATTTTTCGATTGGTCGAGACTCGAGACACTATACCTTTCGACAGAAGTCCGAACTATTCTTTGTTTTATGTTATAAGAAGAAGAAGAAGATTCTGTTATTATTATTATTATTATTCCGATATTGTCCAAAGAGACGTCTCTGGTAAATTCGTTACCTATTATACTATGATATACTGATAAAGTAATAGGTAATTACTTGCATCTATTACTAAAAAATGTAATACCTGTTCCCATACATCACGCGAGTCGTCTAACAAACTGCTCCAGCAAGTGCTGACGGCATAAACAAATTAAATGTGAATTTTAATATTATTCGTACATGCTATAATTTTTGTTGTACCTGTTATTTACTACATAATGTAGGTACATGTATATCATTTTGTAAATTGAGTTTGTCTGTCAATAAAGAAATAATAATAATAATGAATAAATATGACAAGTGTCCACTGTAAAGTATATAATAATTAATATTATATTTATTGTAATAGTTTTAGCATGGAAAATACATACATATATAATTAAATTTCTTGACGGGCACGCCCAGAACTTTAAGTTTGCTTACATCTAAGCAATAGTATATTAACAACTTAAACATTAATTAAACATCGACGTAAATAGTTAACTGAATAATAAATCTTCTAGCCAATCGCTAATGTTAGAATATCATAAACTACGTAATAAAAACGGCTTAAAACAGAAACAAGAATGGCTTCAGAAACCAGAATATTTAAAAATTCATCACCAGAGCTAAGATTTTAATGACCTAAAATACACAAAAATTCACTAAAAAATGTGCAAAATGGCTAAAAATTCAAAATTATGTTTAGATGAGCATAAAAAGCTTAATTTTGAAATAATTATTATGATAAATTATTAATTATTATCTATTCCTTTTTATACTACATAAAATAGGTAATAATTTGTTTAAGAGTTAAATTAAACTGATATAATCAAATTTTAATTGACTTGTGAGTTAATCCGATTACTAGTATAGCTATTCTGAAAAATCAAAAAAATTATAAATTCAAATAGTTGAATGAAAAATATATTATATTTATTTTCACCAGTACACATTTTATTGCATCGCACTATTTGATGGTTCTTAAGATTTTCAATCAAGAAACTGCGTCGGTGATTTGAAAAAAATGTTTTTATATGAAGAGAAACTTCATACTTCGGCTTCCTACTGTTGACTTAGTTTTTGGCATTTTTAAGATTTTTAAAGTATAAGATCTTTTTAATACTAGTCGTAATATTATGTGTTCAGTATCGGTGTAGAAATACACAGCTACGTGTCATATTCTGGTATTCACTACCAAAGCTTCTATAGGTAATATACCATTATAAGGCCCTTATACACTAGGCGAATAGTTCACTCGTTGATGCGATTTTGAATGATCAAGTAAAATTAAACTTGTGTGATCGATCGTGTATTTTATTCGCTCGCCTTAAATACTACCTATTTATGACGCAAAAGTATTTGAATATTTATTTTCTATAACTGACGATCAAGCAGAAAATTCAGAAATTGTTGGTGTTTCTGATTATGAGAATTATTTACCTAGTACTTTTTCAACTGACACAGATTCAAGTGCTATACAGTCTTCAAATATATCACAAAGCTCAAGTTGTTTATTGAATGATGAACTTAATACTAGTGCTATTGTACAAATATCTACATCTCATACTAATATTTCAGAAAATTCTTACGTAGATACTTCGGTTTTTTTTCCTAATTCACCAGTTATTTCTCTTCCACAAAAAAACAAAAAAAAATTTCCTAAACAACAGCCACTATTATTTAAATGACAAATAAAATGTACAAAACCAGTCACTTTAAAAAAATTTATGTTTAGTCAACCATTTGGTCCTAATGTTCCAGTAGATTTAGATAGCCTTCTTGCCATTTTTGAAAAATGTTTTGATGATGAATTGTTCGATAATATTATTAAACAGACTGAATTGTATGTCACTCAGAAAAATAAAAATGTTTCAATCTCTATTGAAGAATTAAAAGCATTTTTGGAATTCTTATAATTATGGGTTTTCATAAGTTACCTACTTTGAAATCTTATTGGTCTACTGACTTAAATTTTAGTATGTCAAGAATAACTAATATTATGTCTGTAAAAAGATTTTTAGAAATTTTAAGATTTTTGCATATAAACAACAATACAAAAATGCCAAAAAGAGGTGAACCTTATCATCATAAATTATATGAAGTTTTGCCACTTATTGAAAATCTAAAAAAAAAAACTTATTTCAAATTTCAATCCCTCTAGGAGCATAGCAATTGATGAGATCATGGTTGCATGTAAATATTAATATAAGCCACTGAAACCTATCAAAAGAGGTACACAAGTATGGGCAGCTGCTGTTCCAAAACTGATTAGGTACTTGTTAGATGTTGATATATATCAAGGGAAACAAGGTGACCCAGAAATAGGCCTTGGAGAAAGAGTTATAACTTTTGTTATATCCCGTTCCAATTTGGTTTTTGGTTCGGTTGTTTGTTTGGTAGTGGGTCTTCTCGAGGAAAGAAATCACAAATACAGTTTTGGTCGTTAAATTACTTTTATTAATTTATTTAATGAATAATCTTAAATTTTACACTGGAATAAAAACGTCTTGTTAATACTACGGCTTGTGAACGACTGCCTTAAGAAAATATGCTGGCGACGGATGTCGAATACACATCGAAATTGCTTACCTGGTGTATTCTTATTACTAACTAAGGGGTTCTTAACACTTTATTGACCTCCCCTTTTGACAACAAAGGCTTTTGTTTTTACTTTGATGGTTTTTTTTTTAGTAATGTTGCAATGATGGAAAAAATATTAAAAAACAAAAATGTTGGTTGTACTGGTTGTAGTACTATAAAATCAAATAAAATTTATTTTCCTTCAGCTATTTTAAAAAATGTGTTTTCCTCAAAAAATACCGTTTTGGTAACAAACATTGAATGAAATGTCCAATTTCGATTGTTGATTATAATAAAAACATGGGTGGCGTTGATCACTTTGATTAATTTCATTATTTTTATTATAATTCTTGGAAATCAAGACGTTGGTGGATACAAATTTTTTATTATCTTTTAGATGCTTTCATAGTAAATAATTATATTTTATATAAAGTAACTAATGATTTTCATGACCCTAAATCATCAAAATTAACACATTTACAATTTAGATCAGCCTTAGCTAATCAACTAATAGGAAATTATTTGTCAAGAAAACAGCCAGGAGTAAGACAAATCAATAAAAACAAATTATGTAAAGATTCTGGCAAAACTGTTGTAAATAACTTTTATAAATTACAAAATATTGGAGATCATCAACCTACTAAAGAAACTTATTGTCGTTGTGGTTACTTCAGAACAAAAAATAAATTTAAGCGCTTTAATATTATATGTAAAAAGTGTGATATTCCTTTATGTCTCGTATGTTTTTAGTTTTTACTCATTTCATAATCCATAAAATTTAATTTTATGAGTTACACTTTTTAAATTTAAAGATTTATTAATTTTATCAATTTTATAAATCATTTTTTTATAGACTTATAATTATGTAATAATTTGTTTTATTTTTATTTGTTACAAATATTATCAGATTTACAAAGTAAGGTTATCAAATTTGTTATTTTATACTGATGTCAGTTATATTTTCTTTTTCTTTTTCAAATTTATGCAAAGTAATATTATTATTTTAAAATATACAAGGATTTTGTAACTTTTAATATGTTTATCAAGAAATTACTGGTCAAAGTTTCTATGTCATTTTTCAGTTTTATTTTTTACATTTTTAGTCATTGAAATAATAATTATTCAATGAAATTTAATTTTATATTTTTATACTAAACAAAACATAAACCAGAATGCTTTTTACTTCTGTTTCTATTTGTAATTTATATCATCAGTAGTGATTTTTGATTTTAAATTATAACATGTAATAAAAAACATAAAAATATTTTCATGAATTTTCAATTGCTAAATGGGTGGTGGCATAATGTATACTGTGACCACCATAATTTCATTCTAAATGGACGGTGATAGTTATAGCAACCAACAAAATACAGAGCCCCTGATCCTCCCAAACATGAATTTGGGTTTTCAAAAAATGTAATTATTACTCCTTGTATATATAATTTAAAAGAAATATTCATTAGTAAGATAAAATATGAAAATTTAATTATGCCCTTTGAAGGATTTAAAAAAAAAAAAATGCAAGTCTTCAAAATCCTTGTTCTACACATCACAAATTAAATGTTTGTAGATTTTCTTACTATTCGTATAATTGAGAAATTATTATTAATAAAATGTTTACCCTTTTATTCATCCATTACTGGTCATTTATTTAGCTTTGGATTATTTATTTTTTCCTTTTAAATACTTTAAATTATATATTAACTTTCCGGAACTAAGTTTGATTTATTATTAAATGAATTAATAATAAACATAATACATATTTTTGAAATATATAAAATATTTAGTTAAAGATTTGAATTGATTCATATCTTTACTTTGTTTAATTTTTATTCTAAAATCAACTATAATATAAGCACTATTTTAAAATAACACTAACATTCATTTAATATATTTTTAAAGCAATAGAAGATGGTTGGATGTGTATGTATTATTATATTACATTTATTTTTATCAGAATAAATGTTGAAAGTAATCTAATAATTTTAAGAAGTTATTTATTATTATAACTTGTATTTACTGCCTATTAGTATTAAGTTTTATGATACATTAAATAAAAAAATGCATTACAATTTTATCATTACACATAATTTGTAACATAAAACATGTTTTAATTACTTTATTGTATTTATATTTTATAGTAAAACTTAACAAGTTATACAGTAAGGCCATACATTGGTTTATCATTACAATAATATTTATACTCACTTAAAAACGTATTCAATATCTTAATTTTTTTTAATTCTTTAATTTTAAATACATTAAAACACCTAAAGTTTACAAACCTTTTATGATAGTATTTGTGTATAATTTATAAAATAAAGCTTTCTTATAAGATATTAAACAGTTATAAATAAAGAATTATTTAAATAATATAATATTCTTGTTATGTTCAATACGGTATTTTAATTATTAACTCCATCATTGTCAAAGATGTTTTTCTTGATTGTCTGTAGTCTGTACTTTAGTAGATTCATAATTAAATAAAAAAAATGATAAATGTTTTTGTTGTCGATGAGAAGTATTATATGTGAAGCAATTAAAGAAAAATGTTTGATTTCAACAATATTTCGATTTTTAAAATAACTAGGTATGTAAATAATAAACAGTGGTCTCTAATATGTCTTTTTTTTAAATCTTATAAAATATAATCGTAAAAAATGTTCAGGACGCTAAGAAAATTTCAATCACAAAACCATTTATCATAATTTTAATTAATAACTATTTATATGTATATAATATGTAATTATGATTTACTTTTATAATTTCGCAAAGGGTAAAAGTAAATTCATAATAGTATTGACTACTTTATTTTGTTTAAAATTTAAAAAAAATATGTAACATAAAGCTATTTGGTCAAATTTAAAGAATATAATGATAATTTTTTTAAGCATAACCTTGACATAAGAAAATTGGAATAATCACAATAAGATCTAAAGTTAATTTCAAGTTATATCTACTTTTTAAAGTTTACTTGATTTGACTTATAAGTAATAATACTCAATTAAATCACTACAAAATCTGTCAATAAGACTTCTTACAACAGTCTCCGACCGTCTATTGTTTATCAATGGTAAATAATTCATCCTGATAACTATCTGCACATGTAGGATCTGATATAATAATATCACTTAAAATCCAACAATATTTACATCCGGCTAATCAGACATTTGCAATACATTTATACAAGTAACTAGTATCCAAATAACATTAAATAATACACCAATTAAAATATATTCTGTTTACCTCCCTCATTACTCTACTATTAACTCAAAACTAAAAAAAATTTTAAAATATTTTGATCAAACATTTTGATAGACGATTTCAATGCCAAACACTCTCTATATGATTGCGTATCTTCTGATAATCCACGATATAATATATTTCGAAAAAATCATAACCAATAAAAATTATGCATACATATTCTTGAATGGCCTCATCTACTGGCCACAACACCAAAATAGAAACCTAGACATTTTAGATTTCTATATTTGAACATTTCCTATATTTATAAAATTATCGACTACCAACTTAAATGATCTTAGCTCAATGAAAGTTATATTATATTTAATTCATCTTCAATTTAGTTTTTACAGAAAGGATTATTTACTAATGACAGGGAAGACAATTTTATTTTTGAAAGTTATTTTATGAATATAATTGTCAATTAAATGGAAGTCCTTAATTCTTTTCGAGAGTTATCTTATTTGATGTATTACCATTGAAATATATTTTTTAATACGAATAACGTATTACTGCAATGAGTTTGAAAACGTGCCTAACGGAAATTGCATTATTTAAAATTATAGAATATCAATATATAAATTAACAATTATTTATAATTGTATTGAATCGACTGATTCACTGTATTCAAAAATCCAAATGGCAGTATATTAATAAATTTGTTAATATTTATACAAAAATATTTACATGATTTAATTTTATGATTTATCAGGAGCTCGCAGTAAGTTCATGGATATGATTAACTATATTTTTTATAATTATTATTTGAAATAATGCTTCAACAGCAATGGTTTTTAGCCTGTTTCATTTTTACATAAACATAGTATTCCTTAAAATTAAGTGTTACATTTAGTTAACTGATATGGTTTACATCTATTTACATTATTTTAATAATATTTGTAAAGTTTAAGAAAGTAATAATTGTTTTTGTTTTCTTCGATTGATTTTTCTATGCTAGATGACTTGTTGAGGTATATAGTGAGCATTCCTGCAGTGTGTGCTCGATTTTAAGTATTTTTATACATGTTTTGCATATTGGTTTAGGCTTTTTTTTTATTGAAAATGAGTGTGTAAACATGTAGTGTCCAATTCTAACGCGAGTGATTGCTATGTATTGACGTTTATTGAAGTACTCGTATGAAAGGGTGTGCTATTTTTCGATTGCTTTTTAATGCTTTTAAGTTAGTAGATATTTGGTATTGAACACCAGTAATTCTGCCAAGGTAAAATGGTATTTTACTGTTTGTGAATAATTTTTTTAGAGCTGATAAAGCACTAATGGAGTCACTGATTAATAATTATTAATCATATCGTTTGATTGTAGAGTGGTTGCGAGTTTGACCCCTCCGCGCAGAGGGCATAGTTTTCAGCAGAGAAGATGCTAGTTATTATTGGAGGCTTGTGTTGAATGATTGTGTTATCTTTAATTACGTCAAACCCTACTCCATGTTCAGATTTAGATGCATTTATGTATAATATATATTATGTTGATGAAGTTGGTAAATGTGTTTTAAATCTTGTTTTTAAAGTGAGAGGTTATTTTTACTTTGTTTATTTCGTTTTTGTGGAAGTCGGTAAGTTCGGTATTTAGTTTTAGTTCACATTTCCAAGGTGGTAAAACAATTGGATTGAAACTCTATTTGAAACTGTTGTGTGAATATCCATTGATTGTTATAGTTTAGTTTGTTAAGTATGTCGTGTATCGATGAGGATTTATTGTATTCTGGATTTATTGGAGATAAGACGTGGTTGTTGAAAATGAGTTTGTATTTTTGTATTCTATGTGGTTGGTTCTTTTGATAATGTAGTTTAGTTTGTTTTGGTCTCTTTGGAGTTGAAGAGGAATTTCACCGGCATAGTTTAGAATGCTGTAGATTGGGCTTGTTCTGAATGCACCAATAGCTAATCGGATTCCTTCGTTATGGATAGGGTCAGATATCTTGAAGAGGTTTGGTTTAGCTGTATTGTAGTGACTTTTGATTTGCTCCCCAGGTGCGGTGGGATAAAGTTTTGATTGTACTAATGTTATGTTTACAGATACTTTTAAGTTGTTTTTAATGAGATGTACATTTAAAGTTGTCATCAAAATTTATTTCTAGTAATTTGTCAAAATAATGGTGTTTTATTTAGGTGCAGGTGTTGATTTATTTTAGATTTTTAGTTGAATACAATACATTTTCGTTTGGTAAAAGAAAATTAAAATCCGGTTTCTTTGCATCAATTTTGGAGTATTTGTAATGATGATTGTAATATGATAGTATGATACATTTTTTAATCGTTACCATTGATAATAATATAACATAACAATAGATAGTGAAATACATTTCAAGCTATGTCTACTTTTAAATGTATACTTGATTTTCTAATAAGTAATAACACTGATTCAAGCCATCTCAATAGTTCCAAATTAAAATCTTTATTATAAAAACTATGTAATAACTTAAAAAAAAAAAAATATATACATAATTTTATTCTGTAGTTCTACTGTAAATATAATTTAGTTAATTACGTTTGATTTATAATTTATTTGTAATCATAGAATGTAAAAGTAAGTAAACTGAAATAAAAGTAATAATTTTTTTATCCTAATCACTAATCTAATCTAATTTTATCGTTTCTATATAATAGATTATCATATAAAATAACATACTTAAAATTACAAAATATCTTATCAATCAATCATTTAATTATGAATATAATAGTTGACTGTAACAAGTAATTTTTAAGTAAAATATAATAATACTTTTGTATAACCTGTCATCAAGGATCTCTATGTTTTTGATCATAATTTGTAATTCATATGATCATATTGATATAAATAAAATTATAAACAACTAATAAAATATTTGATGATATCCCATTTAAACTGTAAACATTTTTAAATACCAACCAAATAAATTACATAAATTTAACATTATTTTCAATTATAGTGAAATTAATATAATTATCATTATCATTTTCAAACTTAATTATGATATATTAGGCACTGAATAATAAATGTTTAACAATTATTGTTAAGAGTATCATTCTTGAAAATAGCATTAAAAAGTTTTTGAATTTAAATTTTTAAATTTATAAACAGAAGAAATTTTAGACGGGTATACTGGTAAGTGTATAATTATTTAACGAAAATACATACTCTTGAACTTAAATATCCGTATGTGACATTAAGAGTCGTGACAAGTCAAAATTTATCTAATTTTATTTGTATTTTATTTTTTTATTTGTAGTTGATAGATACACTAATATCATACAATCTTTTTTACTAAGTAAGATATCTAATACAGTTTATTTTTTTGACTAATTTAATTATACTGATGAACAAATATTATCAGTAGAACTTAGATTATTAAAAATATAAATAGATCAAATGTATTTTATTCTTTGAAATTTAAAATAAAAAATAATTAATAATATATTAATTTAACTTAATCTGATGTGTTAATTTCTATAATATTAATTTAATAAAAATAAAAGTTTTTAATATGATTCTAAAATTTACGTAACTCGTGTTTACATGAAATTTTTTAGTGTATTGAAACGAGACCTTAATACATATCATTCATATATGATATTTTTTCAGTCGTCGTCAACGTATTATGTATTTGTACATATACATTTATTACACACTACTATCTCTAAGCTGACTTGACATGTTTCCCGATAACCATGAATGATCTATACGCTTAGAAAATTCACTCATCACGTTTTCCAAACTCGAGCAATGACGTTAAGACGCAATCGCAAGTCAGGTGCTATTTTATTTTTCAGAGGAAATTTCATTTGCGAGTGTATTGCTATATAAACGATGTAAAAAATAATGTCAATACCTAGGTCATTGTCGACTAAAATAAGAATTCTCGATTTATTTTGGTTATTTGGTTATAATAACTTTAACGTTACGTAAAAAAATGCACATTAACCTTAGTTTGGTAAGATACGTACATTTTACGAATATCTCATATTTGTGATATGGTTACTCTGTGTATACTGATTATATCGTTTCGTAATTCTAGATAATATGCTTTTATTAGTTAGTTGTGTAAATTTTTTTATAGTAGTTTTGTCCATATATCACCTTCACAGATGATGATTTTAATCATTTCCTTGACGACATAAGTAAGTTTAGCATTATTAGTTATTCACGTAAATAATGCTACGTAAGATATACGCATTTTTACCTATTCGCACCAAAGTGTATACGTATATTTTAAGGATCGTTACTGATAATGTATTGTTTTGATTTAATTAATTAATATATTATTATTGGGCATTACAATGGATGATAGTTAAAGAATTCTTCATAATTTGTGGGAACTCTCTGATACTTTACTGTTACCTTTGTTACTAACACCATAGTGTAATAATTTAAATTTTTTAAATATTTAAGACATGTTGAATGTTTATGCTGCCTTTAAAATATCCAATGTACTCATGTACATAGAAAATTTAATTCAATATTAATTGACTCCCCGGTACTTGATCTTGCTCATTTAAAATTAATAACATCTCCTACCTGACCTACATCAAATTTAATTAGTTCGATATGGCTGTCTATACATATCCTTCGATCCATATGTTGCGTCCCTTATGTCACCGTCGATTGATATATCAACGTAGAAAACGAAATACTAATGTTTGCAAGTTAAATGATTAAGGTCTTTATTACAATACAATTAACTGGTACAAGAATACAATTTTATAAGCGCAAGATAGAGTAAGCGGTGTTACGACCAAACTCTGAAATACTGAAAGACGAGACCGTGAGTGGTGTTACGACCTGCCTCTGAGCGTCTCGAATATCCCTAACCATCTGCTCAGCTCTTGTTCTGGTCTCCCTTATAAATGGTTAACTGACAAGAGTTGTGACTGGGGAGGTGGCGACTTCCGATGACCAAAAGAGCTCTCTAAATTATACTTATTGTTTAGTAAGGCTCTTTTCCTGCGATTTCATCTATTCCAAGAAGTCCAGGACGTGTGATCAAGTCTTAATTGCTTTATTAAATAACACGATGTTCAGGTGTTCACCCTAACTGTCCGGTGCTACACTGTTTGAATACATTATCTTAATCGGTATACGCGTCACCTCTCCGTATAATATATGTTGAAATAATATAATATAACATGGTACGTAACACATACATGGAGTTTATTTAGTTTAATTATTTTCTCATATGCAATTACATAGATATACATATCTCTACTCCAGTTTCGGACAGTACATGATGTAGAACTCAATTTGTTCAATGGTAGTATACTTCGAGTTACGTGTATAGTACACTATAGAAAAGATCAAAATTAAAAATGTTTATACTTAATATGCTCTAAAAAAAAAAAAAAAATATATTAATAAATTCATCATTTTTTAAACTAATAAATTAAGTTCATTGTGTTATCTAATCAAAACGGGTACCTACTTTTTAAATTATTGTTTATTAATATACAATTTTATTTTAAATCATGTTTTACTAAAGATTGATACGATTGATTATTTTAAGAAACAATCAATTATCTAGATATAAAGCAAAAACTAAAAAAATATAATTAATTATTAATAATTACATTCTTTTTTCTTTAGATGAGGATCAATTACAATGGAACAACCAATTTTTAGGTAAAAATCAAATTTAATTCAGAAACAATGTACTTCAGTGTCTGACGTACATCTGCATATTTTTAAAACATATGCAGTGATTGGTACAAATTCCTATTTATTAAACCCTTTATTATAAATCTATCACGCTTGATTTAATTAAATAAATTAAATTGTAACAGATGAAATTGTAAGATGATCAATTTTTGAATAGCTAGAATGATAGACCAGTGCTTATAATCGTAATTAGTTTCCAAATTTACTTAATTAATTAATATTTGTTATAAACACGATTCATGTAAATCTGTTTTGTTTTATATTAAAATTAGGAATATGAATTAATTATAGTTTAAAAATATAATTCGGTACGCCGGTATTCAGTGACCTATTTTCAAGAATAATTTATAATGCCAATTTGTGGTATCACGTATCTTTATTTCCAAATGTCTAAATTAATGTACATTTGTGTGGAAAGTAACTTAATCTGGACAGTATAGACGGCTTGAGTAAGCAGGCTGTGACGGGCGGTATCGGACCTATATATAGAGGTGGGACTACAATACAATTCTTTAGGTACATTTATTATTATACAATTATATACAATAATCGGGATGAGTCCGCAACACTTTCCGCGGTCGTGTGTAAGTCGCGGCTAAGTGAAGTGGCTCAGAACGAACGCTTGAATAAGCGCGCCGTGGGGGCCTTTATTAATAATCCTGAAAAGTACTTTTTTACGGTCAATCGCAATGGTAGATCGATTGAGAGGATGGAATCGCTGCCGCAACCACGAGGGACCGATGGCTAGAGTGGTGAATCCACGTGTAAAGCAGCTGGTAGTCGACCGTTCTGCCGGAGGTGTGACTGGTGTCGAAGTGCGTCAGCGGTAGTTATCGTATTTTATCAATTACACCGTTGTCGTCGGTAGTAGCCTTCGTTCAGGTCTTGACTTCACCGCAACGTTCCTGGATACGTTTACCGTCGTTTTCGCCGCTGGAATGATCATTCTCTGGTTTCCGATCGTTGATTCTTGAGTGATGTTCAGGTCGGAGAGTGGATGAAGAGTGTGTGTTTCTGTCTGAGTGCTAACCGTACTGAAGCGTTAACATCCTATCCGGGCGGCCAATTTGCTGCCTGTACGGTTTCTTATGTTGTTCAGCTCATATTTGTCCTACAAAGGTCGAATTGATATCTTTGTGAAGGGCATAATATCCTTTATATATAAATGTCTTTCATTTATTTTTTGTTTAAATAGGTGACCGGAAATCGCTTATTAAAGTGGTGAATGTTTCTGATTGTTCGACGCGGTGTTGTGATACATGTTGCCTATCTACACGTAATACTCAAATGTTGTTCTATGTGTTTTTGTGGATCCTCACTCCGTTACAAATACTCATATATCACAGAAAAATCAATGTAACAAGTTAACACAGATAATGATTTTAACTTAAAGTTTGTTGATGAATTATTTATCTTTAATATTAAATCAAACAATACAAAATGGATGCTGTTGAAGGGAAATTTGCGATGTTCCGATAAGGTCTAAGAATTAAAATTAGTACAAAGTATGTGACAGGTTAGGTTAAAAATGTAAATAATTGTTATAAAAATAATCTGATTAAATAATAACAATAAATATATTAATTTTCTAAGGTTGTATTATCTGCTTCTCCTTTTTTTTCTTTTGGCTTGATCTACTTTACGAGAGTTATTGTTGCTATCACAACTACACGCCACTTCTCCCGGTTATGGATTATATTTCTCCGGTCATTAATTCCATTCCTTTTTAAATTGTCTCCGATCACATCCATCCATATTAAAGTTGTATTTATATAGGAGTAAAATATTTTTATAATTTTCAATTTGAGGTTCAACAAAACATACATAATGCTCGTGAAGAATCCGCTGTGAAATGTTTAGAAAATCAGGATAAAAAAATGATAATAACACCAAACAGGAAACTAAATCGTATTAATGTAAGAACTACTGTTCCAATTCCAATTCCTGATGTTGGTAAGGCTAGAGAATTACTTTGAAATTTATTAGCATTATCACCGAAGTTCAAGATGGCTTGTACAAATAATATATGAATGATTAAATTTAAATTTGAGAAGATTATTAAAAAAAAAAATATGTTTTTTTTATAAAACTATAGGTACAAAAAATGAATTTTTAAAGTATATATAATCATGAACAGAAAGAGCTCTATAAGATGAAAATTTTATTGTTTTGATGGAAACCAAAAATCTAGCGAAAAAAAGGAAATTATTCTCCGAGAGGCTGCCGGCATAATAGTCTTGCTATGAATTAGGGATATCCAAAGGTGTCATTATAAAACAAAATATCTAAATAATTGATGTGCTTATCGAAAAGATAAAAAAATATATAAAATAAAAAATAAGATAATAATAAATGACTTTATCGATTCAAGTTATATTATTATAAATATATGGGATATTACCCAAATTGACTATCAATTGTAGGCTTTTTATGTATTACTTAGTCATTTTCAACATTCACTGGATAATTTAAAAAAATCGTTATACTTTTAAATATCAATCAATTATAAAAGATATGCTTTTTTAGTTTTAGTCACTATGGTAGGCGTCCAGCGTTATTCGCCGAATTTCGATAACCTGCTTTGGTTAAACGTTACAAAAACTGTTCAAAAATTGATCAAAATCAGACATTTAATCGTTCTATAATAATCTAAAGTAGAGCGAATTCCCACGTTAAATGCACTCCTTTTACAATACATATAAATACAAACATGTAGTTTTTATCAGAGTATTAAATGATAAATCTTATAATTGTATTTTGTTATAGAAGAGAAAAGAAATTTTTTAGATTCTGGTAAATTATATTTTTTTATAACAATGTTTATTGCTCACGTATCCTTAAATTTGTTGATTTTATGTGTTCTATATAAAGTCACATTAAAATAATTACAAAATTAATTTACACTAGTTATATAATAAACATGCTGTATATTTTTTATATGTTCATGAATTTAAATATGATTGTACTTGTGTTATTAACGCCGTCGATAAATAACAGTGTACAAATATTAAATAATACACGAATTCATGGTCACCACCATCGATCCACACACACACACAAACATATTTTGTCATTCTGTTTATTCTATTTCATATTTTAATCGCGTCTGTCAATTATATAACATTTTTTTATTATGTAAATTATCAGCGCGTTATCTGCTGCCATCGACGATACAGTGCGGCAAGTTTAACACAGCCTTCCCGAATTTTGTCTTCTGCCATATGTCTTCGCACAAGGACTAAACGGCAGTATAATATTATACCTATTGTTTTTCTAAATCATATTCATTTTGCATAAGAAAATCGCATCATTTTTATTATATATAATGCTTGGGCGCTAATCGCATTTCCTATATTATACCTGTGTCGTGCGCGCGAATCGCCACCTGTTATATTTATACTATTTTTTTATAATATTTTTCTTATTATTTTTGTATATTTCTATTCCTATTTGTGTGTGTGTGTGATTGCTATAACTATAGCATAGGGAGCGACTGGCCAGTCTGCGCTCCACAATTTATGAGTTTTAATCATTATTATTTATTTATTTATTTTAAATGATTACATTTTTATACGGCTGGGGCACGAGGGCTAAATATTATTATACTATTATATATTAAATTTACATTAATTGAGCCAGAAGGGCCGTAATTATTATTAGTATAATTATTATATATCTTATTAGTTATTACCGTAGCATAAAGGTAGCATTTATTTTTATTGAATTACCTATTTGTCCCTAACTTTAAGTTACACACAAAAACACATATACACACAGTTACACATCCACCGCACACTAGCAATCAATAGTCTTGCTCGTTAAACCCGTCCACTTCTATTGAATTCCATAAACAAATTTACACACATACACAAGTCGGTCGGTGTGTGACCGTACAAGCGTGCGAAGTATTCGGTGAACGGGGCACGCGTTTCTCACAATTATTATATGCTCCTGGCCCTAACATGCGTAAAACTTTATTCATAATAAGAATGTGTTCCATTGTTCATAGTCTTGTTACTTTCCTCATCAGCAACTACCATGAAAACAATTCGTACATATAATGATATATAGATAATATATATATATATATTATATATATATATAAATAAACGCAATTATTATCATAATGTTATAATGATAATTATATAATTTATTGTATTAAAATAAATAATCCTACAGAATAAATTGTTGTTTAAATAGTATATTTATCAAATTATCCTAATATATAGTAGGCATATAAATTTTTTTAGAAAATACACGAAAATACCATTGGTATAATTTGAAAGTTATTAAGGATTATAAATCTAGTACGTATTCTATTGTACAATAATTATTAATAATATTTTATAGTAATTAGTTAAATTATAAAATATCAATACTATGCGTGTGATGTGTAGATAACTTTCGTGTTAACATATTATTTTTCACCACAAGACCAGCGTTCAGTACTTATAGATATATCGTTGCATCTAACCTATTTATTATTAGGAATGCTTAATAATTGATGTATAATAAGCTTTAAGTCATAGTTGAAACATAATGATAATACACATCCTCTTAATTTTGTGATTCACCATAGACTTTAATTGTTGATACAGATAATTAATTAGTCACAAGATTGCTTATTTCATTATTAAAATTTGTTCCAAAGTAGATAGTAAAAATACAAATATTAGCGGGAATTAATTTTTTTTATTCTTTGTAAATGATTTTACTTTCTATTATACGTATCACAATTAACACTTTTTATTAACACTTCTTTGAACATATCATTAAACATAGAATATATCTTGTCACTGTATTTGTACAATTCGTAATTGAAAGTTGAATAATACAATTTAGAGTGATTTGTATTCTAGGATTATGACAGTTAGAGCAAATCAAAGTTGCCTGTAAGAAATAAAACAGTTCAGTTTAATGATTCATACAGATTAATAAGCTCAGCAGCATCACGCTGTTTATGGTTAATAAAGGAATGTCCAATGTGTTTTTTAACATCAATAGTACTTAACATGTTTTTTTGTGATATATAAGAGTATGCAATATCTATTAAAATCGAATTTTGTGTAGAATTAATACAATCACGAGGTATCAAAAATATTCAGCTTTTATGACAAGTCTATAGAATTGATAACAAGACACGAAATTGTTGGTATCCGGCATCTGAGTTACCGCGTTTTCGTAATCGTCAATCGTCGTGCGTCGTCGCCGCCTTAATACGAGTAGCGTGTTGATGGAAAGGCGATGGACCGGGAGGACATATTTTCGTTGCATACTCAAAATCCGTCTTAAAAGTACTTAATTATTTTTGGTTATAACTTTTTCGCCATCTAACCAATCTGCTTCCGAGTTCCTCTGTCACTATCTGCACAATATTTCTGATCAATTTAAATCTTTACGATTTTATATTTTTAACCCTTTGCCCTGTGGAGCTGGCCGATTAATCAACAAAAATTAGAACGGTATTTTAATGGAACAACTCAGTTTCCTCTTATTATAAGTTAGTTGCTACTTCACTATTTTTCAATTTTATTTAGCTTCGCGCCACTACCGGATTACATAAAACAAAAATAATTCGCCAGGAACCGTGTATACAGCGAAAAGCAAATCTAAGACCCTTTATCTATCACCAGCTAACATTTTTTTATGAAGTAAAACTTTATAATCTAAGACTAAATCAACTATTCTTTTGTATTATGTTAACGATGAGTTTGCGTGCATATGTAAATGGATGCAATTGGAAATCACACACATAATACAGATGTTTCTATTTGAAATTTTAAATGTACTTATCATGAAAAAAAAAATTGATTCATAATAATTATTTGTTTTTAGGTATGGATACATTGAATATTCAAACTTGGTGTAATAAAAATATCCCCACATTAATGAAAAACTTAATTAATATTAGAAAGAGCATGCGTAGCAGGTTTATTGATAACAATAATAAATCCATTGAAAATTAACCTCATAATAATAAAAAAATATGTTAAATTTATTTAATGAACATTGTTATGTCATTATTAGTTAATTATCTTAAATGTTGAAATAATTTATACTCAAACTCAACGGAACCCACTTTAATTGTATTTTTGTTATTTACTCGTAGGTTCCAAGAACTTGTCAATTATAAATAATTTATTTAATTTTTGTATTTTTTTTTTTTTTTTTTTGGTCATAGGAAGCATGTAAAAACTAATTGTTATAAAATTAGCCTTTAAAAATTAAATTTAGAATTAATCTGAAATTTGACATCAATCGAAATAAAACACTGGTTCTACTAAACAGGTATTAGTATTTATTTTTTTGATGATTTAAAATAAATAATTATCCGCAATCGAGGATATTGCTTATGGTAAGTTTCCACAAAACAATATTGAAATATTATTCAGTTTAACTCTAATAACATTATAGTTTAATTCTGTGTTGACTGTTTGTGTATATAAATCAATTATACAATAAAAAATACCAGCAAGACTCAAAGGATCTGATTTGGCACGTTGAATTATCAAAACTTTCTAAAAAAAATCTCACCAATGATATTTGAAAATGTCAACATTCATAATAAAAATATCTTCCTAAAATTGAATTTATCAAACGTCGATGACCATCGCACTGTTACACAATATCTTTCCGAAATTAAAAGTCTAATACATATCAACTTTCGAAAGATAGAAATCTCTCTATAATAATTAGAAATCTATAAACCTCAATTACTGCAGAGAAATTCACGAAGCGCTATCTTGATTAGACTACAATGTCACTTATGTTATCCTCCTACAGAATTGTAACACATCACCAATCACAATAATTGTCGTAGCAATTTTTGATAAATCAGCGAATATCATTTTCTCTCTCAATCGTCTTTTTCAGTATTTGATAATGATGGAAAATAACAACTATATTCCTCAATGTCAAAATTGTCAACGTTTTAATTAGGTATACAAAATATTTTTATTAATTACCTCCTAAATGCGTTAAATATCAAGAATAACACTACTGTTCGGAATGTACTAAAGATACAAATAGCGCACCTATTCTTGGTATATTGTAACGGAAATTCCTTATCGAATTATAAAGGTCGAAAAGTTTAAAACAAATTAAAAACCACAGCAAAGTTAAGTTACACGGGAATCCGCCTAAATATCTATAATTTAATCCCAAACCTCAAGAACATAACTCTTTCCAACCCCATATTAGTTCTCAAGTAAAAATCCACAAAGCTAATTTTACTTAGGAAAAGTAAAAATACTAAAAATAAAACTACAATAGATAATGAAAAAACAACACAAATATTATTGAGGAATTCATAAAATCCTTAATGCTTTTATTCAAATCTCTTTTTTACAGAAATTATTAAAAAAGTGATCAATAATATCTCTAGTTCATTAAATAACCTCAATATCTATTAACATAAGTAATATTAGTAATATCTCCATTATTTACTGGAACATAAATTCTATTAAAAGTAATCGTAATGGGCGCATGTAAACTCCGCCACAAGTATATTTTTTAACTATAAACTCTGCTAGTGAAGAAAATCAAGTAGAAGTATAAAATTCATATGATATACAATTTAAAATAGTATTATAATATAATATCATATCATATCGTTCACAATTAATATTTAAATCATGGTAAAAAAAATCGTATTAAATTATCATTATACCTAGTAATCCAAAATTATATAGGTATGTCATGTATGTAAACTAAAATAATGTGATATAATTTGTAAATATTCCAAGTCTTGATATTACTCCATTAGTATATATCATCGCAATAAATGTCAACGAATTAAATGTGAGCACTGAGGAGCTAAACAAAAAAAAACTGGTGGAGTTTACATATATCCATTACAGGAAGAAAAAAAAAACTGGCGGAGTTTACATTTGCCCATCTTTATATTTTTGCTGCATTCTTATCTCATCACAATGTCGATATCACCTGTATAAGTGATACACACTTATCTACACCAAATTCAATTCAATTATTGTATATTCTATTTATCATAATGATCGTTTAGCCCAGTGGTTAGGTTAGGTAACCCGGCAAATTATTATAGTTATAATGTCACGACACACTTTGGATAAATTCAAATTTTACGGCACACTAGTGTGTCGCGTCACATCCTTTGGGAAATACTGGTTTAGCCACTCTAGCCGTCCGGCCTACAGGTGACTTTGCGTTATACAAGCAAAACAAATTATTATAAAACAATTAGCGCAAAACTCTAAACTTGCTGATGGCCTAACATTAAAAGATTTTAATACATTTAGAAAAGTATTTTATAGAAGTAGACAAAAAGTTCTTCCTGTTTTACCACGTCACAAAATTAAAGCACTTATGGCTTTAAATAACTCTGCAAAAACTGTAACTTCAAAAATAACCCATTTTTATAATAAACAATCAAAAAAAAAAAAAATTTTATTGTTTTTTCTTGTAAGAATAATTTAATATTTTTAAATAATGTGGAAACAATTTATATGGATGGGGCTTTTCAATATTGTTCTCGATTTTTTACACAAATGTTTACCATTCATGGTTTTCCAAAAGGACATTACATACCGTTAATTTTTTGTCTTCTTCCCGATAAAAATTTTTGGACATATATGTACTCGTATACGCTTAATATAATTGTAGATAAATGTAAAGAAATTAGCTTGAATTTTTTACCTAAATATGTAATTATTGACTTTAAACTAGCCATAAACTCGTTTGTTAATAAAATTTGACCAATATCAAAGGTAATCGGGTGTCGTTTTTACTAAACACAGGTGTAGTTTCAAAATATTCAGAAGCATAGACGCATAGTTTGGCTATAAAATATAACAAAAATACAAACATTGACAAACGGATTAAGCACAGTTTTGGTTAATTATATTTTAAGTTTAATTTATTTTATATATATTTTAAGAGTCGGATTGTGATGTTGAAGATTTCATGTCAGAATGCCAAACCGACGATAGATTTATTAAATACTATGATTTTTTAATAAATAGTTATATTACTGAGGATAGTACATTTACTCCTTTTCTATGGGCATGTAACACAACGAGTATACTGCTTACGACGATTGCGTATGAGTAGTTTCATTCATTCTTCAATGACAACTTTTATTCTAATTCTTCATCAATATTAAGTTGGTTGAATGTTGTGCGAACTTATGTCCAAACTAATACTTATATAATAATCAATAGTGTTGAAATACCAAAAGCATCAAAAGATGCAAATATAATTAAAAGACAAGATCATAATCAACAACTAATAACACGGTACCGTTTAAACGAAAATTATTCGATATGAGTTCATTAAAATGATGTATAATAATTTTAAAAATTGTGTGTAAGTATCAAATATATTTGTAATAAAATTAAAACCTTTTATTGCATGTGAATTATTTTTTTTAATAATTTGTACTTGATAATTACTAAACAATTTTTTAACGCGAAGTGATTTTAATGCTTAAAAAAAAAAATTTGGAGAATAAAAAGTATCACCTCCTCGTGGTGTTCTCTGGGTACGCTAAATGATACTCAAGTATAATGTACAATAATTATACTTGACTGAACCATTGCCAACTTAATTTTAAATTAGTATAAACTAGTCTGGGCGAAACGGTCAAAGAGCACTGCCTTGTGATGTATATTATTTGTAATAAAAAAATAATTAAGTATTTGTAAAGGTACATCACTCACTAAAACAGTCCTTATCAGGTCTATACAATATCAGCCAATCAGAACACACCATACAAGAAACTTCATTAGCCAGAGATGTTTTACCAAATAAAAGTTCTTCCAACTAACCTACGCTAACAACCTGATAAATTTAACCATGGATGGGGGAGGTCAGTACAAACATAATGAAGCCCCCCCCCCCCCTGGCCATAACCCAAAAACTTATCAAGCAGCACCCAGAAATGTACCGGCCGGAAGCAAACATCACGGCAGCACACACAATAGTTTACTAATCGGTGCGGTGCACAGATTATATACCGATTGTTTTTCGATCACAAACTTGCCTTCTTCAATCAATACAATTTCTTCGACTTAACATTCTACTCAGTACAAAGATAAGAAGAAAAGAAGGAACACAGAAGCAACACGACGACCAGCCGCAGTATTAGAATAACGCCGACGAAAACAACGAACGAACACTCCTTGCACAGACCCGTGAGCAACCCAGTTGGTCATTGCAACACACATTCCGTACGAGTCGACACCGCAGCCGGCATAAGGCCCATTACGCTTCCGATTGTCATCCGGGGAAGATCCCCACGTATACACAACCTATGTGTTAAAGGTACGGACACCGCTACATACCGTATATACAAGTCGGCGGATTGAAACGATCCAACCAACAAGGATACCAGACGGGCCAAGTTCATCGCACGGACCACGAACAACTCATACGGGTACCACACCCCAATTCACCCACGGCCGCGCTTTAAAGCTTGCCTTCCCGGGCCAGAATCACGGTTACAGTCGCTTTATAGTTGGACACTACCCGTGGTCAGCCCGGTAACGTGATTTTGTATATCCCCTCCCTATCATATGAACTTTAAGTATTGATAGGGCGTAGCTTACAGTTCGTCGTGACAATACGCAGTATTCGGTAGCTCCTCTCAAGTCTGGTTGCCGGGTTAGTGTATCGCCCTAATCGCGACTACTCTCCTCTGGGGTCGATGGCCCTTATTAAATGTTATTTCGAGATCGATTACTCGACAGTAATGACGGATTAGTAGGTCAACGGCCCTCACAATCACATATCTTTACGAAAATATAAAAGCCGTAAAGATTACGTACTAGATATTGCCGTATCTCAGGTGATAAAGGGTCATTGACCACTAATTTTGGACAGCATATTTTTTATGTTGTCGGAGCCACCGACATAAAGAGAAGTCACCTCCGTGCGACACTTGTGGTAACAAGCTGTCGGCCACGTTGTCGCCTCAGACTCGGATCGTCTTGAAGTTCAAATTTGGACAGAGTCCTTCACCCGCAAGAAAGG